GTTCACAGGATAAGTTCAGCCAAAGTAGTAAAAGTAAAGTCACTTGCTTTAAGTGACATGGCACAACCCAAAGGATTTTATGTCATAAAATACCAAACAAACAAACACTTGCATTATCACAAGTTTTCATCCCTATAGAATTACAAAGAAATATTTTCTCATCTGTCTCACTTAATCATGTCTTTTCTAAATTGAAATAAATGTTTTTCAGTTTACTTTCTATATATCAAAATAAATGTGTCCTTATAAAAGTCAAGGTAGATGTGACATAACTAATGATACAAGTGTTATCATTGTATTGAGAAAGAAATATATGAATTCTAACTTTTTATAATCATGAATTTTATACTTTTATGCGATGATTTATGCATGATTTTATCGATTTTTTTTTAAATATTTAAATCAATAAATATTTTTCTTTAAAGAAACCAAATCATATGGATTAGATCAAATAATCAAGAATAAATTATGTTTTTTGTAGATATATAAAATTACATTAAAAGTAGTTTAAAGATCTTAAGAATCACTTTAAAGAATTTTTTAGGAAAAAATTTTATGGATCTCATAAATTTTTAATATTTTTATTCAATTTTTGATTAGTTTACATAGCAATGACCGATTTAAATATTCATAATAAAATATAATATTTTAGATTACTTATTTAGAGACTAAATTTTTAACTATGGAAATTATATATTAATAATTTATAATAATTATTTTATTTAAAATTTATAACATATAAAAATGATAAAATTATTTCTTTGATATTTTCAATATATTTTTTTTATTTAGTAAAATTTTTTTAAAATATATTAAAACTTTAAAGGTTAAAAATAAAATAAATAACTGTTGTTTTTGACATATATAACCACATTTAATCAGAGACAAAGCCAATGATTAAATGTGGTTATAGATGTAAAAAAACAATGGTTATTTGTTTCTTTTTAACCTTTAAAGTTTTAATACAGTTTTTTAAATTTTAAAAAAGAAAAACTGCATCATTGATATATTTAATTATATATTTTAAGTATACAAGACATTTTTAAAATTTAGTTTTATTGTATTTAAAACTAAACAAATGAAAGAAACAAATATCAATATTGAACAAATTGAAGAAAGATGCAATATACAAAAATATAAATAAATATTTGTTTTTTTATCATTATTGTTGCTGCTATTGTTGTTATTTTGGCTTCTTCAGTTGTAAATATAAGGAACAAAAATAAAATTAATGGAATTAGAATAGAACAGTATTAAAATATTCATTCTGTTTCAGTTCTGTTAATTTTTTTTTTACTTTTTCTTTTAATTATTTATGCTCAAGGAGATCTTTAATAAAAAAAAAAGTGCAAAACACTTTTTTGTATTTTGCTCCAAGTTCGAATAGTGATGTTTATACCAAATTACAGCAGGCCTTATTCTTTCCTATATAAAATTGTCCTTTTTTTATTATTGTTTATGTATTAATATTTAAAATGAAATTATTGAATGTGTAATGTAACAAATTAACTGTTTAAAATGGTATAATATTAATTTAATGATGTTATCTGCACTATTCAAAAAGCAATAGTTCAAAAAATAAAGAAATAACGATTTTTTTATTTGTGTTAGTACATTTAAAAGTCAGCAAAACAACAATCAAGTTAAATATTTATACGAAGGGTATTTTTTAAATAAGGTTCATTGTTTGATATGAAAATACTGTAAATACTGTTATAATATATTTTTTCCCATATTCTACATACTTTTATCTATTTTTTTACATAATTTTCATTTTTGTTCAAACATTTGTCATATGCTCAAAAATTTTTAAAATTCCGACTTCAAAGAAATCTGCCATCTGCCGCTGGAAGACATTAGGCCACGCCGCTTGTCTTGTATGGCATGGCAGAGCTTTCTCAAGGTCACACAATAAGCATCAGAATTGATTGTTGTGCCTCTTGGCATAAAATCCACTAACAAAGTCCCTTTCTTGTTCCAAAAGACAGTTACCATGATCTTTCATGCTGAAATCGAATAACAAATTGTATCTTACAGTCAGTGGGTGACTCAATTTTCTTAAACATTATAAACTTGTACAGCTCAGCACACAGACAGACGATACGACTGCAAATGGCATCTAAACATGCGCAAAGCATGCTGAAAGCAGATGCTCATGCACACTGCTGCAATTGCGCGTTATTCTCACTTTCATTCACAAATGGACCTTATTTAAAAAATAGCCCTCGTATATAACAATAAGAAAAAAAATTAATACAGTAGACCCCCCTATAACACTGTTGATAATTCCGTGTTATATGAATTCCATGTTGTACGAGTCACTTAGATTTTACAAATACGTGAGCTGTTCACAGCCCGGCACACGTATTTGTAAAATCTAAGTGACTCGTATAACATGGAATTCATATAACATGGAATTATCAACAGTGTTATAGGGGATCTACTGTAGTTACATTTTTAATATTGTTATTTATATAAAACAGAGAAGTTTTTATATTTATATAAATTTTGAATATGTTTTATGTATGCATCAAAATTTAGATATTGAGTTGATGTATGGTAAGATTTTGTTCTTATTATGTATTTTTATGGAAATTTAGCATAAGTAAATAATAGAGATGTTTTGTTATGTTTTTGATTATATACTTTTATTCTTAATGAACAACAACACACAACACCAGGGTGTAGTAAAAAATGTACTCTATGAACTGATGACTGGTGTGCAACAAAAGGCAAAAGAGAAAGTTTACCACTAACATTTTCAAACTGCTGTTTTATGTTCCATCAGAAATTCCGTTTAACACCTGAAGAAGAACTCAGGGGAGTTCGAAAANAATATTTTATTTATACACATATTTATTTAGAAAAATATTAAAGAATTTTTCTGGATTAGAAGATAGGAAAGTGAATTCTTCTTCTGTGAAGGATGTTGCAATACTTTCACATACAAATAATAATAATAATAATAATAATTATTATTATTATAATTAAGATTCAAGGTGATAAATCAGAATATGTATTTTAAATATTCTAAACAATTGTGTATCTGGAAGATATATTTACATGGATTAATGCCACTTTAATGTACTATTAATGATTTAAGAGTTAATTATTTATACAGTAATGTGAATTATAGTATGGTGCATTTAGTCACTTAGTTATATATTGATTTAAATTTGTATATACATACATGTAGATAATTAAAATCTGATTTAGTATAGACTTATCTGAAACAAAATGCTTTTAAATCTGTTTATAATTAAATACATTATATGTAGGATTATTTTAGATTAAATTATAGCATAAGTTTTCACTATATTTATCATATAGCATATACAATCAAATTACAGGACATATATATCATAAACACGGTTTTAAATTACATATTAAACTGTCAAGTACGTAATGTTTAATATATAAACTGTATAACTAAATTCTTGTGAAATGTAGGATTAGGTAAATGTAGAATTTGAGTAAAAATATTTCGTATGTATTAAATAAATCGTTTGTTTGTCTGAAACAAGGAAAGGGTGGCGGCGTGAGGTTCTTCATTTACAATATCAGGAAAATAAAGAATATAAGTAGGCGTGCTTCTAATTACAAATAGTTACTGACCTTGCTGTAATCAAAAATATGTTCAAAGGAGCTTTATCGTACAGGAGAATTAAAGCGTTAATGATATGGAAATTATGAGGCTTGATGAATTTCATATTTAAATGTCAACTACATCTCGAGAATTCTCTATAAATCGAGATTCCGATAAAAATGACGCGGCTGCTGTATTATATTTTAATGTTATCTCCCGTTTTTTGGAACCTTTCCATAACAGCTGCTGCTCGTTATTAAAAAAAAATAAAAGAGAAAAAAATAGATATATATGAGTATCTTATAACGAATTCAGGTGCTGTTTAAGCGTTAAAAAATTGCTTTAAGTTAGGAAAAAAGTATGTTAGAAGATGAATATTAAACAATATATCGAGCCTAAGGAATATGTTTTAAAATATAATCAACTTCCTTAAAACGTAGTGGAAAAAAAGGGGGGGCGATGGCTGAATTTCATCAATATTATTCCTTGCCCGAAGCATAACAGTTTATCAAAGTGAAAAAGCAGAAAAAATAAAAAACGATTTGGAAAAAAAAATCCATCGTGATGAAATAGTCGATAATTCTCATAAGGGATTTGTTTGCTTGGGTCATTAACTATTGTAGATCGGCCACCCTCCTTTGACAATGGAAATATAATCTGTTATTTTCTAAATCACACTGGTGTCCTAGAAGAGTTTGGAGCACCACACACAAGTTTCTTCTAGAGATAAAAGAATATATACACTCGGAGTAGCTACTTCCACGAATGCTTTCTAACTACGAATAAGCCAGTAGAAAGTTCAAAACGAAATTTTTCTGAAATAATAATAATCTTCAGTTTTATTTAATTAGATGCGTTAGTCGTCTCTTCGCCATATTGATCTGCTATTATAGTTGGGTGCGCGTGCCGATATTTTCCCCTACCTGCTGCATTTTTGGACATTTGTTAAATAATATTTTCCGTGTTTTGAAGAGAAGACGATGGAAAATATCAAAAAAGACCTTTCTCTAATTGGTTGTTTTGGTTTAATTCGCTTTTTTACCGTGTTACGTTTGTTTCTTAATTAATATTCATTATAAATAATTCATAATAGGAGGGAATTGTTGGTTAAGTAGAAAACATTAATATTAATCCTGTCTCCAATGTTAGAAATTCAAATTAAGGGTGTATTGCAGAAAAGAAAAACAAATTTTTGTTGTAATCCTTGAGAAAATAACATTTAAAGCTGATCGAATTTGTTTTTTTTTCTTTTAAAACATTTTTTAAACATGTGTAACTGAAAAAGTAACTTTTTTTTAAAGTAGAAGAAAAGCATTTTTTTTTATGTTAAGAAATTTGTTTGGATTTCACCCTTTTAGAATTTCAGTGAACGAAATAAATACACATTTATATAACATGTTTAACAATGTTTTAGTAGTGTTATCTTTTGTTTTCAGCATTCGTAATAACGGAAATGACGGAAGCACGCGAGTTAAGATCCTACAGGAGCTACCACGAAGTGGAAATGCATCATTATACCATCCCTAGTCAAATATCGTTAGCAAGTTGGGAATTCAAAGCTAATGGAACATCGTCGTGCACTTCAAAAAGTATTTTAGTGTAAGTTGCCCTCTTTTTTTATGATCTATTAGTTACTAAACATCGAAAAAAACCCTCGACAATACAAAAAAAAGAGCAAGAAAAGAATTCCATCATTCAAAATAAATGGAAATCCAATGGATTCGGTATTAGATTTAGCAGCTCGCGTCTGGAAATTGGTTGCATCTGTCGAACAGAAACAAACATTCTATTATTTCTATGGAATTTTTTCGGTTTGCGTACAAGAAAGTTTGTTGCACAAACTGGCAAACCATTGATTTGCTCGATGATCTTTTATTACCAGTAGTTAAATGTCAGGATTGTGAGGACGGATAGAATTAAACCCGTGATTTATGGAGAGCTTTTCTCGTCTTTTCCTCTACGTTTCCGAATTGGTGACATTTCTCTGGTCGAAAACTCATCCTTAACAATGGAAAACACCGTAAAAGATTTGTTACCGTTTAATTTTAACAGACATCCAACATTCTGAAATGCTAATTTATGATCCGGCAGACAATTAGCTTATTGCATTCTTTAGTGTTTTAATCTTGGAGAAATTATGCAAAGTTATTAGATTAGTTTGTAAAGAAGACAGTTTAAAAAAAAAAGGGGGAAAGAACGGATAGAAAACGTGATGTTGACTATTTATTCTGGTGTTATTGTTGAGCAGAGAAAAGCGGAACCATAAAAAATATATAACATGAAAAGGAGCCATTTTGTGTTTGCAGTTTTGTTTGGTAATAGGAAGAAAGAAAGAGGGAAAAAAATGGTTGCTCGACTGAAATATGTGCTCTATCGCGTAGTTTTTTGAATAGAATTTATCGTTTTTTTTTTCTTTTTTTTGAATGTTAGAAGTGGAGAAAAATTTTCATTGGTTTTTTTAGTATTATAAAAGCGCAGAGTTGTAGTTTTTATATTATTATTATTAAATTCACGGAGTACTTTTTAAGTATTCGCGTTTGTAAGTTTTTTTTGGGATGAAGTTTTTCATTTATATTACTTTTTTAAGATAATCGCAAAAACGGTTTAGTAACATTTTAAAAAAACGTATTTATAGTTTTCTTTTGTGAAGTTTATCTGTTTTTTGATATTTCTGACGCGAAACGGTCGCGGCTATGGGTAAAAAAGATGTGTTAAATCTAAAAAAAAAAATACTTTGAAATCTTACTTCTGCCTTTTTAAACCGGAGAATTAATCTTTTTAGTAGACATCTCGCTTGTCTTATTTTTTAAGATTAATAAAACAATTTAAAAACCGTTAGCGAAAGCGTTTAAGTAAGAAAAAGACAGATTAGTTAATCTGTAAAATTCCTCTTTATATGCGCTACTTATTTATTCTACGTTAAATCTAGATATTAACGTCAACGCTAAAGGTTGTTAATTAGTATTTATCGGCGTATCTAACATTTAAACTTGTTGCTACGAGACGTAATCTTCTAAGTATTCAGCTGTAAGTCTAATGCACTCAAATTGCTTTCTGCGATGTCTTTTAATGGTTTCCGTAAGATTTCCCCTTACGGAAAAGTAAAAAAAGATTTCTAACTTCGCGAATAAATCATGAAATATTAAAAATTCAACGTAAAATTAAAGGAAAAAACGAAAAAAAAAAGGTATCGTGACAGTGCAACTGATACTGTTTGAACAAATGGTTGAAAATCTTATCGATTGTAACCAATTCTGTCGAAGTTTTTCTAGTAAGCAGTCAAGGACGTCGTTTAATTTTCTTTATACTGCTATACCCTCTCTTTGTTATGCAAATTTAGGATATAGATTTATAAATAATAAAGCTGATGTTATTAATTAATGGCCACTGATAACAGTATCAAGTTGCTAACATAGTGATGAAAATTGAAATGGTTCATTATGAATTAATTTCTTAAAGTTAATATGTTTAAAAATATGTTGTAAATTTTATATTTATTTAATAAGCTGGCTTTTCCTATTTTTGTGGATATCTCTGGATCTTTTGATTGTATACACCACACCCTTTGACCTATTTTAAACATATCGGACTTAGTACATAATACGATTATAATATGCTGGGGTGTTTTTTTTTTTATTCAGAAGTTGGAAATACAGTACATGTTATGAAAGGACATGATAAATCCATTAACACTTTTCCATTTCTGGTTAGTGATGATTAGATTAGAAACTGAATACAAAATAATGACACAATTTTTATTACAGTGGAGAATAATAGGTACAAGAAGGCATTTATTATCCTTGAATTTTTATGCTGCAATGTCTTTTGAAATGCATTTTTATTCTTTATCTCGAGTTTGACACACCTATAAAAGAACAGATCAATGTACTTTGGGAATAGTCAATAGTTTGGAGACTATTCACTACTATTCTGACAGGGAAATATTTCGTTTTTTCTTCTTTAAATAACATATTCTACATTAATTTAAATTTGCTAACTGAAAAATTGATATTAAAAACATTGTTGTAATTGAAATCAATTTTATATATAAACTAGCATAGGTAATCAGGCCCAGAAGAATTGTTTTGCTTGAATTCTGAATATAAATAGATTTCCAAAATTTAATTTTATGTAAATTTGTGGTTTCTTTTTATTTAATTCATATATTTTTATGGCTTTTAGAGAGGGATGGAAATGCATATTTGTGACCCAGACTTCATCTTACTTTTCTCAGTTTCTTCATTTGATACAGAAAATATTTTGATTTAATTCAATGAGTTTAATATATGCTTTTAACTTAGTTTTATTTATCATGAATTTTTCTTATAATTTATCAATTAAAAAATTAATTTTACAGACTTTAAAAGAAATAGGATATTAAAGAAATTCTAAAGAATGCTACATTACATATTTCTATAAAATTAATTAATTATTTACTAAATTACTTGATTATTAATTATTTGTAAATTTAATTAGAATAACTTGACATTATTGATAGATGTCTCACCAATCTTTGGTAATTTTAATGGTTACTTAAATTAAAAATTTAGAAAAAATAGTGCACATCAAGATTGAAACAACTCTTGCTTAATGTGTGAGTGTTTAGCCAATTAGGATAAAACTTTTACAAGTATATTATTTAGAAGAAAAAATATTCTTTAATGTTCAAACGGTTTGAACAATTGGAAACAATGGTTGTAAGAACAATAGTTAGAGAGGATTAAAGATAGAAGAAATGATGATAACATTCTATTACAGTTATTGCTCTAGCTTTAGTTATGTCTGTTTTATTACAATGTTTAATGAATACATTCGCATTTAGAATTTAATAAATGAAAGAATGATGTTTTGTGTGGGGAGGAAATTAATTTAGCGACGAAAGATGAAACAAAGATCCGACTGAATTCTGCCTGTTTAGTTCATAATATTTTTTTCTTCAATTTATCTCCATACTTTTCAACAAGATTTAAATATCAAATATCCTATAATAAAAGCATAAAGTTAAAAGCTTTTTTGTGTTTGTGATATATTTAGAAATCTGCTTATATATATATATTTGTTATTTGTAACATAAACTCTGTTTAATTCTTGTATTTTAACTCAAAAAGGTAAAGGTAAAATCTAGAAAAGCAGTATAGTAATATTAATAAAGTCTTAAATTAACTTTTAATTAAATCTGTTGAATAATATAATTAAACTATATTTTGTTATAGGAATTATATAAAAACTCATTGGTAACAAAGATAAAAAGAAAAATAGTTAAAGAAAGTTGTTCAAAAGAAAAGAAAGATCTTTCAAATAACTTTTCTTTACATATTCAATCACTTTTTATTGTCGTAATCTTACTGCAAAAGATCATAAAATTCACTTTTTGGGTTATGGAATTCGAATACAATATTCCAGTGTTTGTTTTTTATGACCATTCTACTGCTATAAATCATTTTCGATTCAATCTTGATTCAAGAAAGATTTATGATGGTTTCTTATAGCAATAAAGTACCTTCCAACAGACAAACCATAAAATTTATATTATAAGATTATATATTGTAACTATTGTTTGATCCTTAATTTATAAAGTTTATTCATTTATAAAAACAAAGTTTTACGGTGTAAGTTTGATTTTTTTTTCATTTTTTAAATTTTATTCATGAAAATCTTCTGTAATGTAATCAGTAGAACATTTATTCAGTAAGTTTATGGATTAAAATATTTATAAATAGTATTTAAAAGTTTATGAATTTTTAATGTATTTATTATAATTAAGTTTAATCTCTAAAGGATTAGGAAAGAGTTGATTTTAATTACTTTTTATGGAGACAAAATTTTCAAGGATTTAATAGTTAAGTAATTTTTATTATATTCTTTTAAAGTTGTTAAATAACTTATTTTATGCTATATTTACTGACTTAGATGAGGTATTTGATGTTTTTATTAGCATATCAATAAATTTTAAATGCTTTTTATATTTATACAATCAATATTTTGTTGAGTGCATTGTTTACCCTGTATGATATTCATTCAATTCTAGTATTGATTATTTTTATGGACATTTTTATATTTTGATTTTTTTTTAAATGTCAGTTGCAATGGGTATCTTATCAATAAATGTAGTTTTTTAAAATAGCATTTTAATCTGGAAGAAATATGAAACATAAATAGTATTTAATATATTGTTATAATTCATGTATTTGACATTTTATTGTTATATTTTAGTGCATTCAGTAGAGATTGAGGGTTTAATATTTATTTATTTTAGTTACTTTAATATAATAACTTCATTTTTAATATTTTTTGAAAATAAAATATGGATTTTTTATTTTATTTAGGTATATACATAAAAAAACTTTTAAAAATATTAAATCTTCGAAATTTAAATCAATTATTAACAAAAAATTGAAACTTTTTAAACAGTTGTTCATATTTTATTAAAGTATAATATATACTTTTACTTATTCAAGGATTTTATCTTAATGAATTTGTAAGCTTTAATAAATCAGGGTTTAGGGTTTTTTTTTAGTGGTACATCAGTTAAGAATTATAAAATGTCATTGTAAAAGTAAATTAATAATTTTTATATGATATAAAATTAATATTTTCAT